GAGGGAGGGGGAGGGAAGGGGAAGGGAGGGGAGGGGAGGGGAGGGGAGAGGAGGGAAGGGAACATTCCGATGACATTTTTTTTAAAAAGTCAAAAAATCTAAAACCTTACCGGATTTTGGGACTTATTGACTTGGATTTCATCTCTCAGATCCTTTGCTTCTAGAAGAAATTTAACAGCATCGAAACTGAAGCCATCAACACCCTTTGCGAGCCAGAACTGTATTATTTCCTAAACATGAAGGAGCAAAATGCATAGTTACTTTAACTACACGTTACAGGCATAACGTTGAAGAAAGGCTTTGTCTGTGAACAGCTTTCCATCCCAAAATAGACGTCTCTGCATAAAACACAAGCAGCGGTAGCCATGCAGTCTATTTCCATCTACTTAGCAAAACTGTGTTAGTATAATGAACTCTCTAGTCACTGCATTTAGGGGCTTCCACACCTTCTCCATGTTTGCATTTAGAATTTCTGTTAAAACCCCTCAAGGGGCTGGGGAGATAGCTCAGTGGAATAAGTGCTCGTCTGGCAAGCACAAGGTCCTGAGCTTGATACCACAAAAAAATAAAATAAAATAAAATAAAATAAAAAAATAAAGCCCTGAGCTGGTGAGGGGACCAGCCCGGCAGGCACGAGTGACCGCCCTGTCTCCTTGGCTCAGGCCACCAGCTGCACCACAAGCCTCTGATTAATGAAGAAAACTTGAAAGTGGGAAATGCAACCATGTCACTGGCCCTGGGCACAATGATAAAGGCGGCAGTTACAAAGCCCGTGGATCACAGGAGCCCGGATCCGCTGCGCCGGGCTCCGCGGGACACAGATCTGGGAGAGGCTCCAGAAATTTCTTCCTGTGTGACAGCGTGATAAAGTAATCGCATGTGAAACCAGCCGTAACATCGTAGTCTACACGGGAGATTAATTCTCAGAGATTTTTTAAAAATTAATTTCATTGGTACATTTAGGTATGCATAATGATAGCATTCATTGCAGGGAATCTCTACCTGTACTTGCTATATTTTGAATTTTTCCCCCATTCCCCTCCTCTCCTCTCCTTATTTACCAAAGCTATGTTTTCATTTTTTCTTTCCGCTCTCTCCTTTTCCCTTCCCTCCTTCCCGCACCTCCCCCTTATATCCCTTTGAACATTTTCTTATTTCACAGTATCTGTTCTACCTAACTGTTAAGGGTCAGCATTGTGAAAAGCCAATTTCTTTCCATATTTGAAAAGCCTCTCTCTCCCTTTGAACATGAGGCGGTAGCCGCACAGTTACCTCATCATGTTGTGAAGCGCCTCGTTTACTGAAATCATTGTAAGACATGTTAGTCATTTGTCTATTTTAAAATTAAATGCATAACGTGTCTTATGTGTTTTTCTTTGTTGCTGCTAGGGATGAAATTCCAACGTTCACATCTACCAAGGATATTCTCTACCACTGAGCTACATTCCAGTCCCTCTGAATATCATTTAGATTGTCTTTTATCTACAGGCTAAAAATCACTTTATTTTCAGCAAAATGTTTTTGCATGGAATTGTTTGAAAACAAAAGAAACCTATGTTTTAAATCCTTTATTATCTCATTTTCAGTATTCATATTTTCCTGGCATAATATAAATGATAAAAACATTTGTAAAATATACAGTAGTTGAATCATAAAAAATAAAATGTAGATGATAAAAAAGAATTAGAATGGACACAGCCATAATGCAGTCATAATTAGTCACCAGCACTCTGGAGAGGGGTGGCTGGGAGGCAAATGGAAAGCAAAGCAGATGCCATTAGCCATTGGAGAGATCCCGCCAGGCTTGTGGCTTCCAATTCTCAACCAAGGGAATACATTTCTAGGTGTGCTTAGATCAGGGCCATAGAAAGTTCGGACTACTCGTGGGATACAGAAAGCACTGCAGGGTTCAAACTAGGGAGACAGCCCGTGAGGAATGCACGACCCCTCCTGAAGCAGCAAGCATGGCCCATTGTATCTGAACAAGGACAGTAACACAGGCAGGGGTCACTGCAGGGACAGGAAAGACAGGCAGAATCCCGGACTCTCGCCTGCTGCTCATGACATGTGTGTTTGCGTGTGCCTTGGCACAGCCTGGGACTTAGGGGCCTTTTTTGCTAAGACCAGGACTCTTCTCTTGGGCCTACAGATGATACTCAACAGGTAACTAGAAGTGCAGCAAGGCTCAGCTTCCGTTTCGTGTCCTTCCTTACTCACATCATGGGTCGGATCTCTTCTCAGCTCTGCGTACAGGTGCATTACACACGGCTGTGAGCCCCAGAGAAACACGAGCTCACCCCATTCAAGATGGAGGACACCAGGAAGGGCGATTTCCAGGGACGATCAGCTGTACCTGGAAGCCACCAGCTGTCGTCCTAAACTGTGATCACCCAGATTCCACTGAAAGTAGAGCCCCACATAACCAAGATCATCACGTAGACTAAATGATCATTTCTTAGGAACTAAATCATCCCTCAGCCATAAAGACCCCAAAACTATGACACCAGGACTAAGGTGATAAGCCGCAGGACAGCAACCCACAGCTCATCTTAAAGGCTGGCCTCCGGCCTTTATGAGTGGACCACTATGAACCTCCATATCTGAACATGCCCCTAAATTGCAGCCCCTTCCTATCTTCCCTCTAAATTTCCAAGTAAAACTTTCTTCCTTATATTCTTTTTTTTTTTTTTTTTTTTGGTGGAACTGGGGATTGAACTCAGATCCTTGCGTTTGCCAGTCAAGCGTTTATCCTACTGAGCCATCTCCCCAGCCCCATTCTCCCTTAAATTTGTGACTTACATTTGTTTGTTTGTCTTTTTGAGACAGGTCTCCATATGTAGCTCAGGCTGGCCTTGAGCTCACTTTATAGCCCACCTTGGCCTTGAACTTGAAAAATCCTCCTGCCTCTGCCTCCCAAGTGCTGGGATTACAGGCATGCACCACCACACCCAGTTGTGGTTTACTAAAAGCAAAAACACAAGCCATTCAGCAGCACAACTATACTTTGTAATCAATTATGAACAAGTTTCGAAAGTTTAGAGAAACCAGTTCTAATCATGAAGAAAGATTAGACTCAGGGACAATATCTCATTGTCCTACTGCCCAGTTTTAAGTCAGCCTGAACTGAAAGAAATGCTCAGTTGTTTAATAGTTCCGTATTTCACTCCTTTCAGGAAGGTGAGTGCAAGGCTTCGGCGCCAAAGGAGTTCCATGTAGGAGAACCATGACAGGGGTACTCAACCATCAATCAAGAAAATATGAATAGGGGCTGGTGAGATGGCTCAGTGGTCTAAAGCACCTACTTACAACAAGCTTAGCAAAGCACAGGGACCACAGTTCAGTCCCCCAGCACCACATGCCAGCCAGCCCCGCCCCTTGGTGGGATGAGCTGGCCACACACACACACACACACACGCACATAAATAAATAAATAAAAATTTTAAAAAAGAAAATATGAATAGTGAGGATCTGATGGATAGTAAAATGTACAAATACTATCTTAGATATCCTCAGATAATAAAAATAACAGTACATTATCCAAAAGCACCATAATTTTATTATCTTTAATTTCACAAGGAAATTGATCACAAGCTAAAATAGCTAAACCTAAAAAAATCTAGGTTTTATTCCCAGGTACTTTGTTATATTCTTTGATGACAGAATTTCTTCCAAAGATGTATGACAGAGACCAACATTATTGCAGGAATGTCCCTGACTTCCTCTTTCCCCCGGACACCACTGTCAGGGCATGTCCTCGAAGGGGAGGAGGTGCTCACGGCCCACGTAGCTTCTGTTCCATTGCTATGGAGCCCACTGTCCTGGCTGGCCTGATCTCCAGGCACTTTTCCTCTGTGTGTGTGTGTGTGTGTGTGTGTGTGTGTGTGTGTGTGTTTGGCACTAGGCATCAAACCTGAGAGAGCTCAACTACTAAGCTACATCCCAGCCCCTTTCATTTCCTCCTTTATTGTTGAGACAGGGTCTTATGATCTTGCCCAGGTGGACTTGAACTTGTGATCCACTTGCCTCAGCCTCCCAAGGGGCTGGGATTCCAGTCTGTGCTGGGCTACCTGGGTGCCTCTGGGCATTGTAACTGTTCTACTAGGACCACAGATGAGGCCTGGTCTGAAGAGGTGGTCAGATGAGAGAAGTGGGTCAAAAGGGCTAGGTCAGGAGTTTGAGCAGAAGGGAACAGAAGTGAGGAACCTGGACAGGAAGGAGGAGGACACAACTTCTGGGAACTAATTATCGGGACAAGGGGAGAAGGTATCTTGGGCACATGGAAAGCTGCAGCGGCAGTGTCCTGTGTAGCCAGTGGTCTCAGGCTCAGAAGAGCCCTTGTGCTTCGTTAATGCTCCATGCTTGACACCAATGGCTTGAAATTTCTGATCACTTTGGTACAAGAGACCCTGCACTGTCATTTTGCCTGCAGCCCCACCAATTGTACAGCTGGTTACTCACAGGTACCACGTAGAAAGCAATGCAGGGTAACAAGACAGAAGGGGATGAGCCAGTCAGGAAGTCTGGAGAGCGGAGGTAGACTGCGGAGGTACCATTGTTGGCGTGGGTACCAGGACCTGAGCTCAGGACCTCACACTTGCCGGGCAGGCGCTGCCCCCTGAGCTACATCCCCGGCCCCAGAGGTAGCATTTCTAAAGAGACAGTAGTGTGTAAGTGGTGAGAGTCTGGGGCCAGAAGGTTCCAGGCAGAGGGAACAGCTGTGAAAATCAAATTCCACTCCCTAGGCAAAAAGAGAGGGGGCAGTGAGACCAAAGGAGTCCACGCCAGATGGGAAGAGGGGGGCTGCACGTATATCTATCTTTGTCACAAGCTGTGATTTGTGAGAAGGGTGGACAGAAAACACCAGAAGTGTTTTAAGCAGAAAAGGCTGTGGCCTGGCTGTAAAAGATCTGATGTGTAGAAAATGAACCGCACACACTGATAGCTCCTCAAAAGGTAGGACGCGTCTAGCATATGCAAGGCTGGTGTAGGGTCAAGGCCCCAGTGTCTTCAAAAACAAATTTAAACATGAAGTTAACATAAGAACCAACAGTTCTATACATGAGTACATACCCAAGAGAAATGAAAACCTTATGTCCCCATGAAAACTCGCATGTGAATATCCACAGCAACATGACTTGTAAGAGCCAGAGTGACAAGAACCCCCAGGGGAGTATCCATGCACCAAAGATTGCCGGGCCGTAGAAAGGAATGACACATGCCTACGTCATGG